TGGAAATCCCAAACAAATAAACGCAGTCCCAAAATAACCGCAGCTCACTATTGGAGCTGGTTAGGGTGACTTGAACTTTTTTTTTCCCGAACAAACTGGAACTGGTAGCCAGGTGGGGGGGGGGGGGGGGGGGGGGGGGGGGGGGAAAAGTACAGCTCCTTTCGGATTTGAACCCACGACCTTCAGATCCACAGGCGGGCACCTCACAGCATCTCACCTTAATACACTGCAACTTATTATTAGAACTACTTCAGCGATTTCCAGATATCCTGCCCAAATTTGAAAATCTGTATCTCATTAACCGTTTATTGTAAGCTGTTGAAAGTTGGCATGCCGCCGGTTAATAACCATGTCTTCCCAAAAACAAAAAAAAATTTGTTTTTAAATGTAAACAAACAACTAGTTTTCATTTTGCTTTATTTATCACGTGGGAAAATAATGAAACAGACCAACCTGTTCATATACTGCCACAATGGATGTCACCAGGCATCTATGTGGGAAATGACATACAACTATAGTGGACGCGAAAGTCCACTGCAGTAAAAGTTTTTCGAGGTTTTAAACAACGGATCAACATCATGGCAAACGGGTAGTATCCCATAAGTGCTACGTTCTTCTTCTAACTCAAGTCTGAGTCTGAAGAAACTCAGCACCACCGGTGAGGATCCGGAAAAACTTTGGGGTAGATTTTTAACTCAAAATTTTGACCGAGCAGCACAGTCAGGCTACTCTTTTAGATTTCAAACTGCCAAGGGATTTTCTACGTGCGCAACAATGCACACGGGCATCTGATCTCAACACCCAGAGACCAGGGGGAATGACTAGAAGTCCAAATCCTTGTGAAAAGATCCCAGCCCTTACTGGGGATTAAACCTGGAACTTCTAGCACTTGAGGCGGACACCATGCCTCGAGACCACGCAGCCCCACACTGAAGTAAAAGTCCTTCATGCAAAAGAAGCAGAGTATTCATTTTGTTTAGGTAATCGAAATCCCAGGTCTGCAGGATGCTTACTGCTGGCTTCTAAAGACATAGCCCATGATGGATGAGATGTCCAATATATGGAAGTAAGGTTAAACAGTCATGAGCAGGACATGACAATTCCTTGAGTGAGCCTAGTACCCGAGCACCATGGATTGGCTCTGCATTTATGGAAGCCTGCTTGGGTGGTGAGGAATGTTACTGTTCTGCCCCCTGCCTTCTCTTGAGGGCTGATCGGCATTACGTGGCTTCTCTGGACTAGTCTGATGAGGGGCACCACCTGTGACCTGGGAAATAAAGCTGACCACACAGCAACAAGACTGCAATGTCCCAGGAAACTAACTAGGAAGGATAACCTGGTCAACAAATGCCTGAAGAAGTTAGATGTGTCGGCCAAAAGGGAGGAAATATCGCAGACATGCTGTAAACGGGCACAACGCAACTACATCTTCGGATGAACGCAGAAGAAAAAGAAAAAGATTTTGCCTTATTTGCAGCTTATGATAAAACAGACACCAAATCAAAGCAAACAGCAAGCTTACAGTTAACTGAGCACCAGGAATGTTTCAAAACCTCAAACTGCATGCGTGTTATAGGCGTTTCACTCTCAGGTAGTCATCCCCAGCATTAGTCTCCCATAAGTTGTGGATTTTTCATTGTATGCTGGATAGACTATTAAAATAATTACCTGTAGTAGGACACAATCTGACTTGTGTCTGTGTATTAATGTAAGTATGTGATGCTGTTTGGTGCAAAGTCCTGAAATATTAACACCAATTCCCTTGTGTGGGTTCTGGGGCCCTATTATACGGAAAATAAGAACAGACCCACTGCCTACCCAAAAGCTTGTCCTAAGAGTCGACTAATTGGAAGCTTCCTTCAAAGTCGGAGTGCAATTGCCTGAGAGGCAAGGAACCAGCAGTCTGCAGACACACAAGTCAGATCTCTCAAACGGATGCACATGGAACACTCAGGTTTTGGAACAGGACTGCAGTCCAGAAGTGGACGAACAACCAGAACATTCCACCAGAGTTTACAGCTGGTGAACGTGAAGAAGAAGAAGAAGAAAAATAATTACCACGCACCACTGCACATATGAAATTATTTACAATCAATCTTTAGGCATGAATCAGTTGCTGTATATTATATTTTTAGGGGTACACAAATTATTAGTCAAACAAAGATCAAAGAAATTTGCTGCTTTAAGAAAACAGTAGCAACTGTGCAATTGCAAACTGTAAAATCACAAGGACATGAGAAATCTAAGGTCACTTGTGTTGATCCATACAGTTTTCAAGATATTTGTTAAGAGGGTGAGGACATCTGAGGTTTGAAACACACTGTGTCACTTAATTATTGGAACTACTAATACTAATAATGCTACTTTTACTACTGATACCCTGAAAGTTTTTACTAATACCACTACTATTACATGTATTATTAATATTACTACAGCTTTTACTACTATAACTATTTTTTACTATAACTATAGTATTACAATACTACCTTTTGTACTTATATTACTTCTACTATTACAATGACAGCAACCACACTTATAATCACAGTACAAAGATATATTACATAAGTGGCAGTACTTACAAGAATAACATTTTCTGTATAACAGTAACATTCATAACAGTAACATTATCAATAGTAACATTCATATCATAAATATTAACAAGGGTAACATTAAAACATTGAAATTCACAGTAGCAACATTCACAACATAAATATTAAAAATGTTAACATAAACAACATTAAGATTAACAATAACATTTACAAAATTATTATTCACATTAGCAAAATTCACAATAGTAAAACACACAACATGAACATTCCCTTTAGTAACATTCTATCTATTGTCTTCTTCACCTTTACCGGGTTGCAGCCCAGTGTCGTGGTTTAAAATATTTGTTTTGTGCCTCTCGCGTGATTTGAGTGACAGTTTTCTGGATCTTCTGGCCGTATTCAGCTACTCCATCTATACATTTTTTCCTGGGTCTTCCTCTGGCCTTTCTTCCCGATGTTCTACTGTAAAAAGCCTTATAGGCAATCTGATCCGGTTGCATTCTACTAAGTGGCCAAACCACTTCATTCTCTGTCTTTCAATATGTTCCATGCATGCTCTTGTTCCAACTTTGTCTTTAATGCTGACGTTTGTGACTCTGTCTCTTCGTGTATTGTTGGTGACTCTTCGGAGACATCGCATTTCACACGTAGTTATTTTTTGCATATGTGAATTGTTCATTGTCCACGTTTGGCACTGATAACATAACGTAGGGATGAAAATGCTGTTGATCATCCGTTGTTTGGCTGGTAACGAGATCTTTGGATGACGAAGAAGTGGGGCCAGTTGGTAGTTGACTGCATTGGCTTTTTGAACACTAGCCTGTATCTCTTTATCGAGTCTTCCATCTTCTGTAAATATGCATCCTAAGTACTTGAATTCTTGAACTTGTTCTAATTGTATGTCATTGATCTTTATGTTTACATTACTGTGTTTCTTTCCTATGGTCATTACTTCAGTTTTTGAGGTGTTTATTTTCATGTCAAATTTTGTACAGTTAGTGAGCAATGAATCAACATGTTTTTGTAGTTTTTGTTCTTTTTCTTGTAACAAACATTGGTCATCTGCAAAGAGAAGTTCATTTATAATATCTGTGTTTTGGTTTGACTCCTGTGCAATTTTATCCATATATGTGATGAAGAGTAGGGGTGATAGGACACATCCTTGTCGTACTCCTGATGTAATGGGGAACCAGTCTGTCATACCTTCCGTTGTTCTTACAGCGCTCTGGCTATTTTGATTGAGTAACGTTCACAACATAAATATTAACAAGGACAACATAAAAAAACATTAAAATTTACAACATTCACAACAGTAACATTCACAACAGTAAAATTCACAACATTAACATTCACAACATTAACATTCACAACAGTAATATCCACAGCAGCAACTTTCACATTCACAGCATTTATATTCACAACAGCAACCTTTACAATACCAACATTCAGAATTTTACATTAGCTTCCATACAAAAAAACCATACACACAAAGAATCAGGTTAACAGACACCATTTATTTAAACATTTGGTTACTTTCTTTAAATTCCATGAATAGACGACATGAAAGAGGACATGAAATGAAGACAATTTATCACACACACTAGAAAGAGGCAACTCTTATTACAGTGCAGACTGCTTCAGGTGATCTCAGATGTTACAAATTTCTGCTGTCAACAATAATTTGTTTATCCCTGGCAATTTTTCTTGCTTGAACTTTTATCTGGATAAGAGGAATTTCTGATTAGATTTCTTGGGTCCCCGGAAAGATCTTTTTATTAGGTGTGCACTATATATGACTACACTGTTTGATGAAATGGGAACAAATAGACTGAGGTAAATGGGATTTCCACAAAGAAAAAACATAAGGTGAATGTTCTGAAAACGGCACAAAGGTACTGTACTGGATTACAAGCGTGACATCAAAATAAGTCACTGAACAAAATGGAATGGAGGAACAGACTGCATGCCCTAAGTGACTTATAGCACTCAAACAGGATGATGTGATGACAATACAGTATTTTTACCAGCAGCTTACCTGTGCCAACTGTGAACACAAACAAAAGACAAAAGAAATATTGAAATAACAAAAAGGAAACATCTACGAAGAATCCTAAATCTAACTAAAAGAGAGAGGATCTAAAAAGATGATATCACGAAAGAAGTTGGGACAGAACCAGTACTTAACTACATCAAGAGACAACAGATCAAATGGTTTGGACATGTGTCAAGTCTACCACCAGATAGAGCACGACAAGCAGCCCAATCCCTTAAACATATGGAAGCAGATGTAGAGGTCAACCATGCAAGCGATGGATAGATGGAATATCCCAGGTCACAGATACAAAGCAAACACCAGGACTTGTACCCGATGCCTCTTCAAAACTTGATGCTGAAAGGCAGAACAGACCCAGAGAAAAAGATGAAGAAGAAGAACTATGCCTAATATCAAAGTCATTTACTCTCTGTCTCCCTCTTCCTTTTCTTTGGTGACTGGGAATTTTCCGAGAGATCTTCACCTTTGACCTCATCCTTTGATGGCCGTTTGTGCTCTGGCAAGCTTGAATCAGGTTGCGGGTTGTTTCTCAGGGTTTCCAATTCTTTGCTCCAGGATTTGACGAGTTCGGTTGAGAATGTGTGTTTATCTGGGAAGAATCATTTAAAGACACATATTCATATACAGAGGCCATAAATATATTGGCTAAACATTGAAATTCACAGTAGCAACATTCAAAACATTAATATTCACAACATTAACATTCACTGTAGCAACATTCACAACATAATATTAACAATGGTAACATAAACAACATTAGGATTAACAACAACATTTACAACATTAATATTCGTATTATCAAAATTCACAGTAGTAAAAATACACAACCATGTCACCTTGAGAAGACTAAATCTGATCACTTCCTGTTGCGATACAGTCCTGAAAATGCCAGCAGTGACCTGTTCTCGAAAAGCGTAGTGAAGTTCCACTGGTTCGATGTGCATATGTGCAGTGCTAAATAGGCCAGCATATGAATCTTCTTCTTCCTTATGTTCCCTTTTACCACTTCTGGTGTCGGGGGAGATATAAGGTCTTGCTTCATGCTCTTCTGGCTGCTTCAACCATAGAAACATCATGGTGCCGTCAAGTTTCTCTGATGTAATCTTCCCATCTTGATTTTGGTCTACCTCTTGCTCTAAATCCCTCTCCTCTTTTGGTAATACTTTGTATGGTATAGCATCAGAAGGCATTCTCTCCAAGTGGGCAAAGTATCTAATTTGCTATCTTTGTATGTAATTCAGAATTGGTTCTGTGCCGACTTTTTTTCATATGATATGAATACGATATGAATACAGTAACTCCTTCTTCTTCTTCGTTCACCGGCTGTGAATTCCGACGGTAAGTCCCGGTTAATTGTCCGCTTGAACTTTTGGCTTTTACCTAGACCTGAGTTTTGCGTGTACAACCGTTTTACTGGCTTTTGCCGTTCCCTGCCTCGCGGGGAGATGTACTCCGACTTCGAGGGAAGACGTCAGGCCTATTTCTAGGATGACTGTGGCCAATGATTTGTGTGGGTCGAGATGTTACTTTATTTGTATGGTGACCTCTTTGTCCCTTTCTCCAAAGGTGTTGACCCAGAAGTACCCCCTTTTGGGCAACCCTGTGTAGAATGGTTAGCCCTCAAGGGAAGGCAGGGGCAGATGATGGGCATTCCCCACCATCCAAGGAGGCTTCCATAGATGTAGAGCCGACACATGATGCTCTGGTTCTGGGCTCACCCAAGGAATCGTCACGTCCTGCACATAACTGCTTAACCTCACAACCGTATTAGGCTTCCCGCTCGACACAGGCTGCGCCCTCCAGAGATCAGCGGGGAGCAGCACGTGGGTTCTGGACTTTTGTGGCCACCCAAATAGGTATATTCTTCTTCATTGCACGTTAGACATCTTTAACGCTGTTTCAACTGTGCCCTTAGAACGACAGTATAGGAAAGCATGCATCAGGCATGGATTCACCTGTTTGGTCCCAACACTCGGGCGAGTGGGGCCAGTGTGTACAGACATTTGGACTTTTTTTTCTAGTCGGTACGAATTATGACGGTCGGACATTGGGCTTGCTTGTATGTCGTAGGATCTAACTTTGCCGGACATTTTTACCTAGCCAGCAGATCAGAAGTTACTGTCGTTGTCTACCTCAGCGCGGTGACGACGACGCTGAGTATTGACAAGAGGGTGTACGTAGGTAGGATCTGACTGCGAGAAACCACCCACAAGAGATGTTACTCGTCTTGGCTGCGGGTAAATCTCTTGGTCACGGGTTGAGTCTCAGCAGTACAGTTTTCCATTCGCTCCAGACTTTTAACCGAGAGTTGTCATTTGGTGGTACATTTGCCGAGCAGACCTTACTCATGTACCGAATAAGTTTTGATAGACTTTTCACCCACGCGTTTGGGGGCAGGCTGATGAGGGCCAGAAAGGACACTACACCTCTGGGGGCTGCCAGCTCCGAGATCCCCTGCCAACTCTGTTAATGCTCATTTGAGACATTATCCGTGGCACACGACGGGGACGTGCAGCAGGAGTCTTGCATGAGTTTCCGTAAAACCAGAACAGTGATGGACTGGCGCCCGAGTGAGGTACGGAGTATCTCCTTATACACATCACATCAGACGACTTTCCCTCACGCCTGTGACCGAAATTACCGCGCCACAATACAGTAACTAAATTTAGGGGTTTCCTTATTATCATAATGGCTTTTTTTAAAGGCCAAATTGATGTACATTTTCCCATCAGTCTCAGTGACTGAGGTCACAGAGTCATGTCATGAGTCGCCCAATACAAATTGTTTTTTGTTTTTTTAGGGTCAGGGAATGGATTCCATTTAATGCTTCACTCTGTGTTTGTTGATCACCTCTTTATATATCTTTATAATTTTCTCAAAAAATATGTTGTATGTTTGCACCACCTTAACAGCTGTACTCAAAAAAAAAAATTCTCGGCATATCATACAAAGGCCACATCACAAATGAGGAGGTTTGTCGTATAATTACCTAGCACATTGGCAACTATGAACCTCTTTTTTCCTCGAAGTCAGAGTACATCTGCCGGTAAGGCAGGGAACGGCAAACAAATAAGCCAGTAAAACGGATATACACTCAAAACTCAGGTCCAGGTAAAAGCCAAATTCCAAATGGACAAACTACTTGGACCTTCCGCCGGAATTCACAGCCGGTGAACAAGAAGAAGAAGAAGGAACCTCTTTTAACTACAGTTAAAATGCAATGGTACGGACATGTAATAAGATCTAACGACCTCTCAAAACAACACTGCAGGGCTCAGTAGAGAGGAAGAGGAGAAGAGGCAGACCAAGAAAGACCTGGTTACAGAACCTGACTGACTGGACAGGCCTCAGGCATGGAACCATGAAGTCCATCACAACTGACCGCCAAAGGTGGAGGGAGCTGATCAGACAGTCAACAGAAACTGGTGAAACAATGACACACAGTGACCGGTACCCTCAGTATTGGAACTCTGCACTGGCTGCTGAAGATGAGGACGGAGCATGCATGGGAATGCCCCGAGTTCTGTGATGTCAATTCTTGACTCAACTCAACTCATCTCAACTGATACACAGTTTTATATCTTCTTCATGTCGCTGTTGACACACAAGGCATTCACAAGTGATCCCCATCGCTGCCGGTCTTCTGCTTGTCTGCCCTTGGTATCCCATGTCAGTTTACATTCCTTCATTTCCCGTTCTATTGTCCTTCTCCATGTTTCCTTAGGTTCCACGTCTCCTTTTTCCATATGCTGTCCACTGGAGAGCTGACACACAGTGTTACACAATAATGATGATGATGACTTTGCACCAGAACCCACAGGGGCATAGAAATAAAGCCAAACCAAAAACACACGGAGACAGAGAGCTACAGGGTGAAGTTAACAAGATGGAGAGGGTATGAGGTAAGCTGCATGCAACAGCACGGGATATGATGACTTGGCGTGAGGTGGTTGCAGGCCTGTGCTCCAATGAGGATAAGGGAAAGAAAAATAACAACAACGTATGCCTGATGCACCACTGCCGTAAAAAGAATCCTTTAATTTTACATTCACTAATTCTTAGTAATTCCGTTGTACAATTTTACTCCTCATATTTTGTGCAAAGCCCTAGTTTACAGAGCTTTTTTAGGTGCTTTATTAATATCCTACCCCAAACAGCGTCTGTGGCTAAGGCATTGTAAACGCGCTTCTTAATGCAGGGGTTCCGGGTTTGATCCCAGCTGCGGGCATTGCGCTGGTTTCTACAGTAGTATCGAGAGGCTGACCGTTCAGTAAAGCAATGGCAAACTACTGAATGTAAACTTGCCTAGAAAAATCCACAACAGTCAAAAAAAAATTCTGGGTTTGGTTCTCCAACGTCCTGTGAAGAATACGCAACTAACTAACCCAAAACAGGGGACAATCCACAGGTCACGGGGCAGTCTAATATTTCAGAGGGTGGTAGATAGGCTTATGCAGTCGTGGGACCTAGGCTTCATTTTCTCGTGGGACTTAGGTGGGTTGGGGTTAGGGCCAGTTCTAGTTGTATTGGGGTCGTTAAAAGCTTACCACCCTCTAAAATGTTGGACTGTCCTGTGATGTCATCTGGGGTAGGATATTAATAAAGCACCCTTTTTTCCATAGAAAAATAGGTGCTGGCACTATTATCAAAGTGTCTTTAAAAAACATGGTGCCAGTACTCAACACAGTGTCTATTGCAGTAGCGCCTGAAAAAAATACACTATGCGTGCCACCAGAAACAAAGCCCAGATTAGTTCACATACTACAGAGCACAACCGATTACCTAACCAAATGTACACAAAATTTAAGATAGGCGTATCAGCCATGTGTACCTGTGGAAAGGTGCCCCAGACAGCAGAGCATGTACTCCAGGACTGGAGTACACAGAATTTGACACATTAAGGCAAACCTTTTGGCCAGAAAGAACAACAGTGGAACATAAACTCTATGGACCACTGAAGGAACAGTGAAATTTATTCAAGAGATAAAAATGCTTATAAAGACAACTTATTTCAACTTATTTCAGGCGAATGAAAGAAAGAAGAAGAAGAAGAAGAAGAAGAAGAAGAAGTTCACATACCTCTAGTGTGATCATAAAACTCTTGCAGTTCTTTCGGCCTGTTGTATTCATTTTCATACTCATAGGCTTGAAAAAGCATCTCAAATTTGTCCAGATCCTTGACAAACTTGGCTTCCGGGCTTGACTGGTTCTCATATTCCTGACATTAAAAAAAAAAAAGGACAAGATTAGACAGGAAGTCCTGAGAGAGAGATTTAAAAAAATAATACTAATTTTATAACAGTTTTTGAATGATGGTAGACCGGTTGCATAATTAAAAAATACTGGGACCTCATTACATAATATTCCCAAAGACCGAAGTGGCTGCACTGTTCAACCTTCCCAGCGGAGCGGAAATAACCCACAATTTTCTTTTCATGGCAGGGTGGCGGCTCAATGCTTGCCTGCTGTCTTGGGTTCAAATCCGCCGGGGGGAGGGGGGGGGGGGAGTTTTATAGAACAAACTTGGCTCTTCGGTGTAACCAGCCTAAAAACGGGGTAGTATCCTTCTCAGCTCTCATCTTTGAGAACAAGCAACGGAATCAGCAGAGAAACAAATTTATTATGGCCTGGAAAGAATGAGGCACCTGGGTGTAACCAGAGGGTCTGGCTGGCTCACTACACTCAGAGGAAAGGCAAGACGGATATGTAACCAGATTGTGACTGGTACCATCAGTACCATCAGCTGGCTGCTGAATATGAGGATGAAGCACTCATGGAAATGCCCCCAGTGCTGTGATGTCAATTCTTGACTCAACTCAACCTTCTCAGCTCTGAGAAGTTAATTTAGTTACGGCAGTTAGTCGAGGTTTCAACATTACTGCAGGCAGGTCGCCATATAACTGCCCTGTTCCTGGGCCAATGGAAATCACACAAGATGTCCTTCACTGTCTCATTTGAACACTAGTGGGAAAACTCGTCTGTCCCAGCAAAATCTTGAAGACTTGCACACTCAAAGTAAAAAATGTTTAAGGTAGGGGTGAGATGTGCCAACACTTGACAGTCCCACACCAGAATTGCAGCTAACTACTGGAGCAAATGGTCAACCACGAAAGCTGGCATGGCACCTTAAAAAGTACATGCCACCAAACACAGATGTTTTCTTCTTCTTCTTCGTGTTCGTCGGCTGTAAACTCTGGCAGAAAAAAGTTCTGGTTGTTCATCCACCTCTGGACTTTAGTCTTCTTCTAAAAGCTGAGTGCTGCATGGACATCTGTTTTACAGATCGGGCTGTGTTTATATGCAGACTGCTGGTTCCTTGCCTCTCAAGCAGTTGCACTCTGACTTCAAAAGATGACCCCAATTACTGGACTTTTACAACATGCTTCTTGTTTTTCCCACAGGGCCCTGGAACTCGCACGAAGAATCCAGTGAAAAGTCAAGGCGGCCAGCATGATGCTGACCACATGAATTACTAAGTACCAGTGGGTCTATAAAATTAGGGGCCTAGCATCATATGTCCAATATCTTCTTCTTCTCCTTTGTGTTCACCAGCTGTAAACTTCAACGGAAAGTTCTGGTTGTTCATCCACTTGTGGACTGCAGTCCTGTTCCAGAACCTGAGTGTTGCGTGTGCATCCGTTTGACAGATCTAATTTGTATGCAGACTGCTGGTTCCTTGCCTCTCAGGCAGATGCACTCCGACTTTGAAGGAAGCTCCCAATTAGTCGACTCTTATGACATGCTTGTGGGTAGGCAGTGGGTCTATTCTTGTTTTCCCTACAACAGGGCCCCAGAACCCACACTGGGAATATGCCCAATATGTCAAGGGTCCTTTACTTATTTTACTTACAGGACAAAAAACCTTGTGTGGGTTCCGGGAGCCCTCATTGTGGCGAAAACAAGAGTAGATCCACTGCCTCCCATCAAGCATGTAGTAGGAGTCAAAGAATTGTGGGCATCTTTCAATTTCAGAGTGACTCTGCTGGAGAAGCAAGGAACCAACAGGACTTGTGCCCAAACTGGAAATGCTCCTTATGCAATAATATTGCATGTGCTACTGACAGCTTGTCGTGACTGACTACTTCTATCAACCATGAATTGCAGTTCCCATGGCAGAGTGCTGGAGTTGGCAGGGACTAAATTTCGAATGGGAAAATTAAGGGCATTTTGTGCAATTTTCACTGGGACAGGAACAGAGACATTATGTGATGGCCCGTGTACATAAAGTTGGAACACAACTACAGACAATCAATGTCTGTTATGATTTCTCTGCTTCACATTCCTGCATGCCTCAGAATTTATATATATATAAGCCACTGTAATATAGGAAAGATTTTGCCTGGAAGCTATTAATGCCACATTCGTCCTTTCGGAATTTTGAGTAAGCCAAAATATTGTTTAGAACAGTGATTCCCAAACTGTGCGTTGCGGCACCCCAGGAAGCTGCGACCTCTTCACAGGGGCGCCGCAAAATATTTGAAGATACATGAGTTTAAATTTTGTTTCTCTTTTTATCTCTTACATACGAATAGTCATACTTTTACTTAGGTTAGGGCGCCGTGGACAAATTTTAATTGAAAACAGGCGCCGCGACTAAGACAAGTTTAGGAAACACTGGTTCAGAAATCAGAAAATGATATATAACATACAAACGTTCTGATATATAAAGAGGTTGTAGATTTGGATGCAGTATCATAACATAAATGCTCTGATATATAAATAACCTGTAACTGATGATAACATCCGGCAAGATCTGTTACTGATGATTCAACATCTGTCCTGAAAGATCTGCTAACCAATGATATCATATACTGTATGTATACTCTGGTATATATATAAAACTTGTAACCAAGGATACAATATGTGATATGAAAGATTTAATGTAAAAAAAGCTTCTAACTAAAGAAATCTGACATTAAAGATCCGAAATACAAACAGGCTTTGGCAAATGATATCTCCTTCTTATTTTTATACACCAGATATAAACACTGGTGGAAAGTTCTAGTTGTTCTCCACTTCTGGGCTTCAGTCTTGTTTCAGATCTTGAAGTTTGCATTCACATTTTACAGATCTGGCTTATTGAATGCAGCCTATTGGTTTCTTGCCTCTCAGGCAGATGCACTCTGCTTCAAGGAAACACCCCCATTAGTCGACTTTCACAACATGCTTGTGGGGGGCAGGGGTTCTATTCCTTTTGACCCCCAAACTGGGGCCCTGGAACCCTCATGAGAACGGCAAATGATAAAAACGGTCTGTACCTACCAACCATAGTTGATAAACCTCCTTCCCTGCATCATCCGGCAACAGACTAGCAATGTGAGCTGTGGCTTCCTAGGACACAAAGTTCAAACACTGAACGTTATTCAAACAATCACCACCATTCAAACATAATAATAACGAATAATCAAGCGTTACAGTTTTACATATCTACTCTAGGGTTTTAGTGTAAAGAATAATCAAGCATTACAGTTTTACATATCTACTCTAGGGTTTTAGTGTAAAGAATAATCAAGCTTTACAGTTTTACATATCTACTCTAGGGTTTTAGTGTAAAGAATAATCAAGCCTTCAGTTTTACATATCTACTCTAGGGTTTTAGTGTAAAGAATAATCAAGCGTTACAGTTTTACATATCTACTCTAGGGTTTTAGTGTAAAGAATAATCAAGCGTTACAGTTTTACATATCTACTCTAGGGTTTTAGTGTAAAGAATAATCAAGCTTTACAGTTTTACATATCTACTCTAGGGTTTTAGTGTAAAGAATAATCAAGCTTTACAGTTTTACATATCTACTCTAGGGTTTTAGTGTAAAGAATAATCAAGCTTTACAGTTTTACATATCTACTCTAGGGTTTTAGTGTAAAGAATAATCAAGCTTTACAGTTTTACATATCTACTCTAGGGTTTTAGTGTAAAGAATAATCAAGCGTTACAGTTTTACATATCTACTCTAGGGTTTTAGTGTAAAGAATAATCAAGCTTTACAGTTTTACATATCTACTCTAGGGTTTTAGTGTAAAGAATAATCAAGCTTTACAGTTTTACATATCTACTCTAGGGTTTTAGTGTAAAGAATAATCAAGCGTTACAGTTTTACATATCTACTCTAGGGTTTTAGTGTAAAGAATAATCAAGCGTTACAGTTTTACATATCTACTCTAGGGTTTTAGTGTAAAGAATAATCAAGCATTACAGTTTTACATATCTACTCTAGGGTTTTAGTGTAAAGAATAATCAAGCTTTACAGTTTTACATATCTACTCTAGGGTTTTAGTGTAAAGAATAATCAAGCTTTACAGTTTTACATATCTACCCTAAGGTTTTAGTGTAAAGAATAATCAAGCGTTACAGTTTTACATATCTACTCTAGGGTTTTAGTGTAAAGAATAATCAAGCTTTACAGTTTTACATATCTACCCTAGGGTTTTAGTGTAAAGAATAATCAAGCGTTACAGTTTTACCTATCTACTCTAGGGTTTTAGTGTAAAGAATAATCAAGCGTTACAGTTTTACATATCTACTCTAGGGTTTTAGTGTAAAGAATAATCAAGCGTTACAGTTTTACATATCTACCCTAGGGTTTTAGTGTAAAGAATAATCAAGCGTTACAGTTTTACATATCTACTCTAGGGTTTTAGTGTAAAGAATAATCAAGCATTACAGTTTTACATATCTACTCTAGGGTTTTAGTGTAGAGAATAATCAAGCATTACAGTTTTACATATCTACTCTAGGGTGTGAAGAATAATCAAGCGTTACAGTTTTACATATCTACTCTAGGGTTTTAGTGTAAAGAATAATCAAACATTACAGTTTTACATATCTACTCTAGGGTTTTAGTGTAAAGAATAATCAAGCGTTACAGTTTTACATATCTACTCTAGGGTTTTAGTGTAAAGAATAATCAAGCATTACAGTTTTACATATCTACTCTAGGCTTTTAGTGTCAAGAATAATCAAGCTTTACCATTTTACATATCTACTCTAGGGTTTTAGTGTAAAGAATAATCAAGCTTTACAGTTTTACATATCTACTCTAGGGTTTTAGTGTAAAGAATAATCAAGCTTTACAGTTTTACATATCTACTCTAGGGTTTTAGTGTAAAGAATAATCAAGCTTTACAGTTTTACATATCTACTCTAGGGTTTTAGTGTAAAGAATAATCAAGCATTACAGTTTTACATATCTACTCTAGGGTTTTAGTGTAAAGAATAATCAAGCTTTACAGTGTTACATATCTACTCTAGGGTTTTAGTGTAAAGAATAATCAAGCGTTACAGTTTTACATATCTACTCTAGGGTTTTAGTGTAAAGAATAATCAAGCGTTACAGTTTTACATATCTACTCTAGGGTTTTAGTGTAAAGAATAATCAAGCGTTACAGTTTTACATATCTACTCTAGGGTTTTAGTGTAAAGAATAATCAAGCGTTACAGTTTTACATATCTACTCTAGGGTTTTAGTGTAAAGAATAATCAAGCATTACAGTTTTACATATCTACTCTAGGGTTTTAGTGTAAAGAATAATCAAGCATTACAGTTTTACATATCTACTCTAGGGTTTTAGTGTAAAGAATAATCAAGCATTACAGTTTTACGTATCTACTCTAGGGTTTTAGTGTAAAGAATAATCAAGCATTACAGTTTTACATATCTACTCTAGGGTTTTAGTGTAAAGAATAATCAAGCGTTACAGTTTTACATATCTACTCTAGGGTGTGAAGAATAATCAAGTGTTACAGTTTTACATATCTACTCTAGGGTTTTAGTGTAAAGAATAATCAAGCATTACAGTTTTACATATCTACTCTAGGGTTTTAGTGTAAAGAATAATCAAGCATTACAGTTTTACATATCTACTCTAGGGTTTTAGTGTAAAGAATAATCAAGCGTTACAGTTTTACCTATCTACTCTAGGGTTTTAGTGTAAAGAATAATCAAGCATTACAGTTTTACATATCTACTCTAGGGTTTTAGTGTAAAGAATAATCAAGCTTTACAGTTTTACATATCTACTCTAGGGTTTTAGTGTAAAGAATAATCAAGCGTTACAGTTTTACATATTTACTCTAGGGTTTTAGTGTCAAGAATAATGAAGCTTTACAGTTTTACATATCTACTCTAGGGTTTTAGTGTAAAGAATAATCAAGCGTTACAGTTTTACATATCTACTCTAGGGTTTTAGTGTAAAGAATAATCAAGCCTTACAGTTTTACATATCTACTCTAGGGTTTTAGTGTAAAGAATAATCAAGCATTACAGTTTTACATATCTACTCTAGGGTTTTAGTGTCAAGAATAATCAAGCGTTACAGTTTTACATATCTACTCTAGGGTGTGAAGAATAATCAAGCTTTACAGTTTTACATATCTACTCTAGGCTTTTTAGTGTCAAGAATAATGAAGCGTTACAGTTTTACATATCTACTCTAGGGTTTTAGTGTAAAGAATAATCAAGCTGTAGTCTTGTAAATTTTTCCATAAGCTGCATGTTCAGAGTACCATGGACCGTGCGCTACGTGGTCTTGAGGCATGGCATCCACCTCGAGTGCTGGAGGTCCCAGGATCAAGCCCCGGTGAAGGCTGGGATTTTTTCACGTGGACTAAGTAATTTCCCTTAGTCTATGGGTAGTAAGATCGGACGCCCGTGTGTACTGCTGCGCACGTAAAAAAATCCCTTGGCAATTGGAAACTGAAAAGAGTAGCCCAACAGCGCTGCCCAAGCAAAATTTAGAGTTAAAAATCTACCCAAAGTATTTCAAGATCCTTGCCGATGCTACAGAGTTCGTGCACTGCGCTGAGATTCTTCGGACTCAGACTTGAGTTAGAAGTAGAATGGAGTACTTATGGGTGACTACCCTTGTGCCATGATGTTGATCCGTTGTTCAAACCTTGAACCATGGACCAAGAAAAGAAATACTGACATCCTACAAGATCTGAACATCACAGAAGATTGACTAGTAAACAGCATATTTTCTCAGAAACTAAAATATGTTGGCCAAATCAAGAGCCACAGTAGATAGGAAAGAACAACAACACAAAGCGTGGTACCAGGAAAGAGGGGCAGGGATGGACCAGCACCAAGATGGGTACAGGATATAAGTGAAACCTTCAGTAGGAAAGTGCATCAGGTGAGAGAGGGAGCTTCTTGCAAGCAGATCGTGATAACAGCGATGCTCTGCAAAGGACCTGCTACATGATGATGAGGACGATAAGATATACGTAGAGAATTATAAGACTTTATGGTCACATACAATTTGTCTGTTACCCTTTCAAGTATATCATGACCGGGTACTTTCAAAGTGGGTATGATGGACACACTTGTCCACGACTATGAAATTTCTTCAATCTGTGAATAAATTTTAACAAAGTACCTACTGTAGAAGGGATGGGGAAAGTCTAAATTACCCACTGTAGAAGGGATGGGGAAAGTCTAAATTACAGACTGTTGAAGGGATGGGGAAAGTCTAAATTACAGACTGTTGAAGGGATGGGGAAAGTCTAAATTACAGACTGTTGAAGGGATGGGGAAAGTCTTAATTAACCACTGTAGAAGGGATGGGGAAAGTCTAAATTACCGACTGTTGAAGGGATGGGGAAAGTCTAAATTACCCATTTGCCGGGTTCAGGAAAAGTGTCGAGGGAGAGCATGTCCATTTCTCCCCCCTCTGAGCTGCTACCTGAAAGTTGGACCCTTCCCCCCTCCCCAAGAGTTTCAGCCTGTGTGGCAGTCCAACAGAGAAAGTCCCAGATACTCTGTTCAACCTCCAAAAAGTTATAACTAGGGCATCTGCAAGGCCTACACCAAGCTGGTGCAACCTGCAGTCCTGTGTGTGCGTGACGGGATGGCTTATCAAACAGAAAGGAAAATGGCCACCCCCATATTCCTTATTTTATCACAGCCTACGATATGTGCGCCTCTTATTAGTTTCGACAGCGGTATCATGGGCACGAACTCCGTAGCTCCGGCAACAATATCCAGGAATCTTTTTTAAAAAAAAAACTATCCGTGAACTACACAAATGCAGCCATAATACGAAACGATGACCTTCAGAATGTGGGGCAAACAATGGCATACAACTGAACATAAAATTTCCTCATTTGGGGTGGGGTGGAGCTGGGGGGGGGGGGGGGGTGACATAGAACATAATGCAGCAAAGTCATTGAGAAACAGAAGATCAAATGGTTTGGTCATGTAGTAAGAATGCAGCCAGAACAACTACCAACACAGGCACTACACATGAAAAGATCTGAAGTGAAAGCAAGAGGCGGCCTTAGGAGATTATGGATTGACGACATTAAAGAGCTTCTACATCAACATGGAATGACA